AAAATCCTGATTCCTTATTTTCTTTCTACCTCAGGCCTTTAAATATGCTTTGGATTTTCCAAACAACTCAATACACACCAGTTTCCATCTGGAAACAGACTTTTCAAAAGGAATTGTGCCCACCTACAGGCCTACCCGTTGTCTCTGCCTGAAAACCTCTTCCCAGCTGCTGAAGCTGGGGAAGGACAACTCCTTGTGCCATCTGGATGCGACCCTGAGAGCTGGGCTCAGAGAAGATGCTCCTCTTGTGCACATACAACCCCTTCATCACACACAGTGGACCCGACTAGCCCTTCTGGTGACCATGGTGCTACAAGCTTATTAAACAGATACTATCAGCTTCATTTGGGATGTAACCTTGTTGGCTTTTGTCAGTGATGTAACCCTGAAAAAATTTTTAATATGATATAATAGTTTCAACATTTCTACTTGGCCTCATAGAAAAGAGACTGAAGGGGCCTTTGGAGGTCTAAAACTTAGTTGTGTGCCTTGTTCTCACTGACTTAAGCCTACAAAATTCTGGTCCAAGGTGAAGATTTTCATCTACCTACCTCTGCAGTGGTTTCTCCAGCTCCTCAGAAACCTTATTGTATTTCTCCTCTGGGAGGAGATCTGGGGGCCCAGACCAAATTCCCTGCAAGCAGAAATCAGGCCAGGGCACACCTGCCCTGGACATGATTTATAGGAACACTCCCAGGCATGCCCAGGGAGACAGCTCCCAGACCCAAGGCTAGCAAGCTGACACACTGAACTGATGGATGGCTGCTCATCCAGGAAGTGAAAGGATGGATTTACCCAACACAGGTCTGTGGTAAAGCAGAATACTGATTGCAAGGCCTTGAAATGTGCCCTGCCCACTCAGCTATCCTTCCTCACATCTCGTACTTGTGCTCAGCAGGGATGCTGGTATCCTCCTCCGAAGCATGGAGCTCCACCAGGGACAGGATACTGCTCCCACTGGAGTGCTGATCTGGGATGCTATGGAAATTCCTGACTTCCTGAGTTGTTTGTTTTTCCATTGCAATGACCCACCAAGAGATGCACAGGGAGCTCCACGGTTTCCTGTGAGTAGGTCTCTCAACTCTTTGCCCACCAGCCTCTCCTCTGCAAGCAACAACAAAGGGAATGTTCCCACCCCCTGGCAGGAGAACAGAATGGAACATGCAATCCCCATCCTGCAGAGCTGTGTGAAGTCAGAATCACATAATCACAGAATGGTTTGGATTGGGAGGGACCTTAAAGATCACCCGGTTCCAACTCCCTGCTGTGGGCAGGGAAACCTTCCACTATCCCAGGTCGCTCAGAGCCCCATCCATCCTGGCCTTGGACACTTCCAGGGATGAGGCATCCACAGCTTCTCTGGGTAATCTGTGCCAGGGCCTCACCATCCCCACATGGAAGAATTTCTTCCATATAGCTAAACTAAATTTCCCTTGTTTCAGTCTGAAACCACTCCCCCTCGTCCTGTCCCTACAATTCCTGAGGTAAAGTCCCTCCCCGGCTTCCCTTGAGGCCCCTTCAGATACTGGAAGGTGCTGTGAGGCCTCCACACAACCTTCTCTTCTCCAGGCTGAACATCCCCAACTTTCTCAGCCTGGCTTCATAGGGGAGGTGCTCCAATCCCCTTATCAACTTCATGGGCTCCGCTGGACTTGCTCCAACAGTTCCATGTCCTTATGTTGAGGACAACCTACAGGTGTCCAGGCAGGGTCTCATGGGGGCAGAGTAGAGGGGGCAAATCACCTCCCTAAGTTATGTGGGAGTAGCTCTCAATGACTCTTTGGGACAATAACAACCACAACTGGCAACTCAAATACACCATGCAGAGCTACTTTCACTACCCCTAAGGCTACTGAGCTTCTCAGCTCCTCCGAGAGCAGCTCCCTGGTGTTTATTTTGGTAGGGGGAAGGAGTAATGAAACCAAGGTTTGCATGGCCCTGTTGTCACTGTTTCTCCAGGCTGTGATTTACCCTTCGCCAAACAGCCCAGGGCACCGATTTATCAGAAATAACTTATCTTTAGAATGACACTGACAGGATGCTTTGTGCAATCCTGTCTAAAGTCTGGAGCACTGCTTTGGATTCCTACAAGGATATCCAACACCAATGTGTCTCAAACAACCAACGTGTTGGTTGCTTGCTTACCCAACAGCTGGGCTCTAAATTACATGTTGTTTATTAATAACATATTTTTTGGTCTAATTCTTGATGAAATATACATTAAAAACATTCATTTTAGCACTAAACGTCAAACTCTAGTGTAATTACAATCTAGAGTAACTCCACTGATTTCAGCCTCCTGGTTTATGCTGCTATTTCCCAGCAAATAGACTGCATCCTTAAATTATCATTATAAACCAGTCAAAGTTCAGAAGAGCTCACTGCAGTTAAGCTGCATCAGGGTTTCATTATCACTCTCTCTTTTCATATGCTTGGAGCTTTGAAGCTGAAATTTTTCATAGAATCATAGAAAAAATTTCATGCTTCACCTCGGACAGTGACATCTTTTGAAAAGCCAATAGGAAAAGTCCTATCATCTGTTCCCATGCTAAGCAATCACACACTCCAAAGCCAAAAAGGATCAGAAGGCCCCAGCACCATCTGGCTTGGGAAGGACCCTCCCCCAGCCTCCTGATGGCACAGGGAGGCAAGAAGTTTTTGCTCTGTAGAACTGTAGTTTCTGTGAGTTCCCCTGCTTTTCTACCATGTGATGCTCCTGAAGCCCAGGAACTCTCACTTCCCCCTCTTCCCTAACCTCCCCATTGAAAACAAAATCATTCGCACAGTGACAAGGAATTAATTGTGTCACTGCAAGAACAGCTCTCAGGCATCAGAAATTAGGAAGTGAGAGAACTGAATCTGCTCATTCAACTTTAATTAAGTCCTAGTGTAAAATATATTACAATAGTCTTTACTCTTTATTAACACAGCCTTGGGCTAACTCTTACACAATCTAGCCAGTACATTTTTTTCCAACAATACATTTTACACATGAGGCTGGTATTACTACCTATTGCTAAGACTGCCCCTGAAACCATGTTTTCAGTTGTTTCTTTCTCTCTCAAGTGTTAACATGTGGGATGAAAGTTTCCAGTCCTGGGCCCTTTTGCATTTTTCCAATGCAGAAGTCACGAAGGAAATTTCTACCGAAATATTTCTCCCAAATCCAAATAGCTGGCTAATGAAAAATACATTGTTTTGTCCAAGTTAAAAATTTTGGTCACCTTCGGTTGGACTGAGACTTCAAAGCTTGCAGGGAGTTAAGGTCACAACAACGGAAACACCTTGAAAAAAAATGACAGCACCTCCAACTTCTGCAGAGACTTCTATTTCTTAGCAATTAAATTATCCAGAAGCTCCTTTTATCCCAAGTGTGCTCCCATTTGGGGACTGAAACTCTCCTCCATTGTCTGTGCTGCTGAGGGCTGACCCCAGGAGCAAAGGGAAGAAAGTTTGTCTCTACCCAGTGCCAACAGATATTTGGAAAGGAGATGAGACCAGTAAAACATTCAGAGTTCTTTGTTATTTGAGAAGAGTGTCTTTTTGTTTTTATCCGAAGGAACATAGTCTCAGTTGGAAAGATTTTCACCAGGATGACAAAAAGCAAATTTCTGACAAAAAAAATCTGCTAAATTTAAAAGGTGTAAAGAAATTTTCAATTCAAAAAAAGCCCATTTTGTTTTCTTCTAATCATTTAAGAACTACTAAGCTATTGTGGTAGGTATTTGCTTTCAGACTGAAACAATCTGGGTAAAAAAATTCAACACAGGAGATAAAAGTTTGTCCAATCTGCAAGATGCTGCAAAAGGGCCTTACACCCAATTCTCTCAGCCTTTCCACACAGCAGAGGTGCTCCATCCCTCTGATCATCTTGGTGGCTTCTTCTGGACTCGCTCTAAAAACGTCAATGTCCTTCCTATTGGAGTGAGTCCAGAGGAAGGACACCAAGATGATCAGAGGGATGGAGCAGCTCTGCTGTGAGGAAAGGCTGAGAGAGTTGGGATTGTTCAGCCTGGAGAAGAGAAGCTTTGGGGTGACCTAATTGTGGCCTTCCAGGACCTGAAGGGAGCCCAGAAGGAAGATGGAAAGAGACTTTTTCCAAGGGCCTGGAGTGACAGGACAAGGGGCAATGGCTTCAAAATGACAGAGAGGAGGTTTAGATTGAGTATTAGGAAGAAATTCTTCCCTGTGAGGGTTGAGAGGCCCTGGCACAGGTTGCCCAGAGAAGCTGTGGCTGCCCCATCCCTGGAAGTGTCCAAGGCCAGGTTGGATGGGGCTCTGAGCAACCTGGGATAGTGGAAGGTGTCCCTGCCCATGGCAAGGAGTTGGAACTGGATGATATTTAAGGTCCCTTCCAACACAGGCCATTCCATGATTCTATGATTTGCACTCTAAGCATTCAGAATTAGAAATGTCCCTTTTTCTGTGCAAATCCAGTTCCAATCAAAAGACATGGGAAGCCACAGAACTGCACTTGAAAATTAGGATCGTATCGAAAATCTGATCATAAGAAAAAAAAGACTTATCGAAATCCTCACGTTTTTCGGTAAACTAGACTACTTATTCACTTCCTTCAAGCCAACTATTTTTAGATGATACCTCAACGAGGGCCAGAAGAGCAGTTTTCAAGGCTGCAAACACAGGACCAACACCACCACAAGACCTCTTGGTTTACTTTATACCCCCCCCAGGGAATGCTGCCTGCTTGCTCGCCCCATCGCTCAGGCTACCCAAGGGGGCTTTAGTGCTGGACCACCAGCCAGGGCAGGAAGAACAGCCTCTCCCCACCAAGTTGCTGAACCAGTAAGGGTGAATAAAAATTGATCCCTGGAGTCCACAGAGCTTTAGAGATTCAAAAGCTGGTTCCATGTCTGCAAGTCAGTTCGGAAGCATCACTCTGCCTTGCTCCAGTGAGCTTTTGGGATCAGGACAGCTTTCATGGTCTGGTGCTCCACTGTGCCCTGAGAAGTGAAAGGAGGAAAGGAATGTGGGACACTCACCACATCTGTGTTTGTGATCTTGGCCAGGAGGTCCGTGAGGCTGTCCCCATCATCGAGCTGAAGGCCACAGATGGCTGCTCCCACACTTCCAGTTGCTATCATTGATGGTGGGTACATGGCAAAGTTAAAATCTGCAAGAACAGATCTGGGAATTAGTCCAAGCCCAGGCCAAGAAAAGCTGCAAAACATCAGAGGCAAGCAACATAAAAAAAACCACACCCAGGAATAAAACCCGGGGAAGGAGAAGAAAGGGAAAAGTGCCACTCTTTTTGGTCCCGTGGAGCTCATTAGTCACACTGCTCATCACAAGCAGTCAAAGGAGGGGGAACAGACCTGCAAATTAAAATGGAAATGCAGTTCAGTCTTTTATTCTCATTGATGCATAAAGTAAACCTGGACAATTTTTAATAGTCTTTCCTTAGTTTTAAAGAAAAGGAAAGAGAAGAAGGAGGCTTTCTGTAATTTATGTCAGAAATTTGGGTCTTGGTCACATTAGACCTCTCTGTATAACTGGAAAACTAACTGGAATAAGGTATCACAAAGGACCAAAATGAGATTTTTAATCACGTCAATTTTTAAAGACTTAATTAATTCGAGCATTTAAAGACCTGCCCGGGAAAGAGATTTTAATTAACAGTTCATCTTTACTACCTTAGCAATTAGGAAGTGAGAACACTTAAAGCCCATAGCTACGTAATCAAAGGAAAAAAAAAAGATCCCATTTGTCATTACTACTATTTCTTAATAAACAAGTTGAAAATACATTTCAGAACTTCCTCTCACCCATCTGTGAAATCAGAAGAGAAAATTAGACAAAATCCTGTGGTCTTTATATAACAATTTTATGGTTTAGGATGCTGCCATAGGACTTGGTTTATCAGCATGCCTTACTAAAGACCATTTGCAGATCTTCTATGTCACTGACATATTCCTAAAATTAAACTTGATTTTCAAGTTCTTTGGATCAACAATAACTCATTAACAAACCTTCCTCTACTAGTTTTCAGATGGGGAGACTGGAGGCGAATGCAGAGTAAAGCAAAGCAATACTTAATATGAAATAAACCACCAGCAATCTATTCAGTCTATAGAAACAGACTGTTCCAGAAAACTGCCCAACTGCAGATCCCAAATCTTCTCTGTGCATCCAGCACAAATTCTGTAACCCTGTTGATGCCTCAGTAACCACTCAAGTTTTAGACACACGGAGAGTTGTTCTGGGCCTCCTAGACTCAGAGCTGGCAGACACTTCAAGAGCTGTGGAGACAGCATGTTCTCCTCCGGGCTGGAATACGTCCCTGGAATTGGAGTATTCCAGTAAGAATGGGACTTGGGTCATAGCATTCATTCAGATGGACTGGAACAGGATGGACAAGTTAGAAGTATGGAGAGAAAAGGAGGAGTTGAAACCCTGACATGAATTTATCTGTCTCACAAAGTCGCCAGGAGGTGGCCACCTGCAAGCCCACCACTGCACATGGCTTCCTACCAGGGGAGCTCAGCAGACATCACACTCTGACAAACACTTCAAAAGAAACAAATTCCCACTGACTGAAGCAAGGAATATAGACTGCCATTATTCTAAAAGTAATAATTATGCACTATTATCATAGTAAGAACCCACTGTACCCATGAAAGCTGATTCTTGGAAATGAAATTATATTGGCCCCACTGATGAGAGAGTCAACAGGAGAGCCTTGACTCCTCAGTGCAGGACACAGCCCTGAGGATGCTGATCTCAGCAAGGTAACGGGAATTGCAATTCCATGATTGCACTTTCCCCCAGTCACTCATGGTGCCCCTCGGGGCTCACTGTTGGAGCCATTTCTCTTTGATATCTTTACCAATGACTTGGACGAGGGGATTGAGTGCTCAGTAAGTTTGTGGATCACACCAAGTCAGGTGGGAATGCTGATCTGCTGGAGGGCAGGAAGGCTCTGCAGAGGGATCTGGACAGGCTGGGGCTCAGACCAACGGCATGAGGTTCAACAAGACCCAGTGCTGGGTCCTGCCCTTGGGTCACAACAACCCCCTGCAGCTCCAGGCTGGGGCAGAGGGGCTGGAAAGTGCCCATCAGAAAAGGCCCTGGGGGTGCTGGTGACAGCAGCTGGACATGAGCCCGGGTGTGCCCAGGGAGGCAAGAGGCCAATGGCACCTGGCTTGGATCAGCAATAGTGTGGCAGCAGGACCAGGGCAGGGATTGTCCCCCTGTACCGGGCACTGGTGAGGTCACACCTCAAATCCTGTGTCCAGTTCTGGGCCCCTCACTACAAGGACACTGAAGGGCTGGAGCGTGTCCAAGGAAGGGCAACAGATCTGGGGAAAGCTCGGGAGCACAAGTTTTATGAGGGGTGGCCAAAGGAGTTGAGGGTGTTTAGCCTGAAGAAAAGGAGGCTCAGGGAAGACCTTATTCCTCTCTACAACTACCTGAAAGGAAGCTGAAGCCAAGTGGGGGTTGGGCTCTTATCCCACAGAACAAGGGACCGGACAAGAGGAAATGGCCTCCGGTTGCACCAAGAGAAGTTTGGATATTAGGAAAAATTCCTTCAGGATGGTCAGGCATTGGAACAGGCTCCCCAGGGAAGTGGTGGAGTCACAATCCCTGGAAGTCTTCAAAAATGTGTGGATGTGGCACCTGGGGATATGATTTAGTGGTGAACATGGGGGTGCTGGGTTAGTGGTTGGACTCAATGATCTGAGAGGTCTTTTCCAACCTTAATGATTCTGTGATCAAAACTGTTTTCACATTTACCTCATGTGGATTTATACAAACCAGTATACACCAGTTTACGGAAGTCCAACAAGAAGAGCAGGAATGGTTAAAGGACTCTGATAACAATAACAAGAGGTTTTTATAAAGGCTGCAAGTGTTTATGTGCCTGAGTGAACTGTCCGGCGTCCTCCTGATCCACAGAGCAAATAACAAAAACCTGTAAAACTTAAGAATGGTCAAACATCTATGGAGCACACCTCGCATCCCCAAAATCCGCTCTGATCTACACTGAGTGGTTCCTCAGCAACCCCACTAATCTCTTCAGAAAAGGGATAAATTAAAACAGACTACATGTACATGAGTCTGTTTTCCTCTAGCACACGCTGTATTTCCTGGGGATTGCAAATCCCATGTGCTATTATTGGTGTGAACAAGGCTTCACTTGGCCAATGTGGCCCTAAGTTGCGAAGCAACTGCTGTGTTTGATCTTTGGGCTTTACCAAACTGTCTCTTAGTTATACAGGTAGCAATGGACTGTCCATGATTTACCCCTCTTCGTCTCGAGTTTCAGGAAAGTTGTAGAAAGATGATGAGAAACCTCTCAAACTCTGCCAGTGTTTTCACAGTCCCTACTGAAGCTATGATGTAGTGGGTGAGAACTAAAACCCACCCTGTGCCACCCCTCCTTTGAGCCAGCAGCAGGCAGAAATGGACTCACTCAGAGGCTGGGATGGACCCACACCCTCATTCGTAGTCACCAAGGAGCAGCTTCACCCAGATCTGAGCGGCTGGTGGGGAACTCCAAGCAGGAAGCTCCCATGTCCTGCACTCAGTGCTCACCACCAGGCTCAGCAGAGGACACAGGTCCAGCCTGCCCTCTGAACTCCCCCACCTCCTAAGGGCTTGCCCCAAGACCTCCACGTTATCCCGACAGTGGTGTTCTCGTGGTTGATTTTACATCTACTCCCAGAAACTGTCTTCCTAGGAAGCTGAATAAAGAGGCACAGTGTCCCTGCCAACTAGCACTGCTGTAGGTCTGCTTCCACGTGGGGTCACATGCGAACATTTCTATGCCCAATAACCTTGTTAGTTCCCTTAATGTCATTCATAATGCAAATGAGACAGCGAGCAAATGGCCAGAGGCCCAGAGTGACTAAAGCTCAGCATCCAGAAAGTCTTACATCGCCTCTAGCTCTAAACTAACTTCCCTCCATAACAAGCACCATAAACTTGGCTATCAAAGCTACACATGCCCAGTCTTTGTTGTACAACAGGCAGCGATTTGTATCACTGGCTTCTATTTTTAGCATATTAATTAACTACTGCAACTGGTGAGGCAAGTGTCTCCAACTGGAGAGTGTGGCACCATTGTCTGGAGTCATCACCTCATCTTGAGCTATTGAAAATCATGGCAGTGACCCTCCTGCTGATATGAATTTAACCTGACATGCCCACAAAGGAATGGGGGGTGGTGCACCAATTTTGTGCACATGGTTCTCCACATCACCCTGGACCCTATTAGTGTGGAAAGAGCTCACTGAAAGAAAAGGAGCCACATTGTGCTGGGCCACCTAGAGGGTTGAATAGAAAAGGCTGAGGAAAAGAGCAGGCAGCAGAATAAAGGCCATAATTAACATATTTCCATATTCAAGCAAAGCAATAACTACGTGAAGTGTTTGTCAAGGTGCAGTGAAAGCATAAATATTAAGTACCGTATCTGAGGGGATGCAGAACCGCCCTCAGAGTCTCTTAGATTCCACTGAGAAATTCAAAACAAGCTTTTTACATGCTATTTTCAATTACAAACCTCTATCTCCACTTCCCCCATGGCAACAAGCCAAGGCCCACCATCCTCACTCGGTTTTCACCCAGGTAAAACTCTCCCTCCCAGAACTAAGTAAAAAATTTGCCCTGAGATTTAAAAAAAAAAAATAAAAAAATAAAAAAAAGGTGGAGACGGAGGACCTAAACATGTAAAACTGAAACTTCAAATGACTTCAAATTCTTGTTGTGGATGATGAACCCTGAACTACAGATGAAATTTTATCCAAAGCACTTCTTCCTGAACACCTGAAGCAAGGCTGTGGGCTAAATCCTTCTTCCAGATCTTGGTTATTGGGCATCCAGAGCCTGCATCAAAGGCATGGCTCTGATTCTAACTTTGATTTGATTTATAGGTTTATAGGTTGGACTCGATGGTCTCAGAGGTCTTTTCCAACCTAACTGATTCTGTGATTATGCCATTCCATGGGAAAGTACAAAAGAGTCTTGTTATAAGTTCAAGGAGTGTTGTCACAACACGTAGTGTACAAGAATCTGAGCACACGAACACTTCAAGGGAAGACACTGGGTTTTTAGAAGGCAGGACTTGCTTTACTTTCTACTCCCAGCCAATAAACACAAGACACCATCCCATTC